TAAGTATGTTTTTGAGATAGATTCATTTTTTTTGCATTCACCCCTTTAAAATTTTTGACTTTTTGTATTTGTATGGACTAATGGATTTTTAAATTTACTGTTTTATTCTTCCCATTCATTTTGAAGTCCGCATTTTTCCAAAATTAGCCAGTGGGAACCTTGTTACGTTGATGTCTGTGTCTTTCTGAACTTGCCTCCATTAGTTTTTGTGAATTTCTTGCTTTCTGTGAATTTCTTGCTTTCTGGCAAAAAAGTGTGATCCAGGCTTACCTGTACTTTTCCTATCTCAGTTATTGGATCAGCAAATTCTCCAAGAAGTTTCAGTGGGGAATGGTATTTAGAAATCAAGATCTAGGTGTTAGGTGAGTGCTTTGCTACAGGAATTTTTTTGCTTCCAGAATATTGTAGAGGATGTAGCTATCTGTATATTCAAATACACATAGAGAAGCCTGTGTGCATGCATACAGGCATACAACAGAAACCTCTAAAAAACAATGTGCCTCTTCTTTCCCCCCTATTCTTTGTTTTTATCCCCTTTCTCCCACAGTGAAAACCTTGGTCCCCACTCCAGCAACATCAATGATTGACTTGCCAAATGCTACAGTACACACTAGATACTTTTGTAATTGTAGAAATAATATCACCACTAACAACAAACTTGCTAAGTATATTTGAGATTGCTTTTTGAATTTTTTTTGTCTTTACTGCCTACAACGACAGCACTGTGTTAAAAATTTATTGGGATGATTTTTTTCTGTGTGATTATTATCAATATTCTATACAATTAGGTTCACTCGTATTTGTATACAGTTTTGTATTCAAGGATAGGGAGAAACCTATCATTTTAAATTTAATCTTCATTTTTGAATCTGCAAGTCATTAAAATGGTTCAAAACTCAAAAATATAAAAAGATATATTCAGAGAAGTTTCATTCCTTTCCAATCCCTTTAACCCTGTTCTTGTTCCCATAGGTGACCTATTTGTTTCTGGTTAGTCCTTCTTGTATTTATTTTTGCAAAGATAATCAAATACATGTGCATTCTTTTTCTTTCTTACAAAAAGTAACATTCTATGTACGCTTTTCCACACTTGTTTCATTTAACATATTCTGAAAGTATCATTCACTCCAGATTAGCTTATTCTTTTTCAGATGCATAGAACGTTACTGTGTGGATGTACCATAGTTTGTTGAGAAATATTTCTTATGTAAACATTTAGTTTTTTCCTCCAGTGTTTTAATAACCAACTTTGGACATATGTATTTTATTATTATTAGTGGTGTATCTTCAGTGTGAATTTCTAGAATGGGTTTGCTCTATACTGCCAAATGCCCTTCCAGAGAGGTTGTGCCATTTCTCCTGGTAATGTATAAGAGAATTTTAAAAGAAGCTTTATATAATGCTAGTCAATAAAATTCCTATACCAAAATGACAGGACAATGGGATAGATGGTTTTGGGAAAGTTTAAGAGTCAAAATTTCATATCTGTACAAAAAGGTCTTAAAATGCTCCATGATATAATAAATAATATTTTGTTATAAAAGGAGATCCAAGAAGAATCTTTGCACATATGTTTTATGGATGACCTAAGAATCAGCCAGGTATTAATCCATAAATTGCAACTTAATTTGTCTGACAGTATTATTCTTATTTGGGTTAGATAAGATTACTAGAACCTAAGGAAGGTATTCAAATAGTACCTGGAAAGAACAACCTACACCTACGAACAAATGAAAAACTGAAACCCTGGGAAAGTATTCAAATAAGGATAAGAAAAAAAAATTAAATCAATGTAGGTAACATTTTAATGGTTTTGGTATAATTAATATTCAGGTTACATTTTACCTTTTTTTTTTTTAACAGATTTTATTAGTTTGAGAGAAAGAGAGAGAGAGAGAGAGCACAAGCAAGAGGAGGGTCATGGAGAAGCAGATTCCCTGATGAGTGGGGAGCCCAATGTGGGGCTCTGTCCCACCAGTCCAGGATTATGACCTGAGCTGAAGGCAAAGGGTTCACCAACTGAGCTACCCAGGTGCCCCTTTTTTACTTGTTTCTTTTTTCTTTCTTCTTTTTTATTTATTTGACAGAATGAGAGTGAGAGAGAGCACAAACAGGGGGAGCAGGAGAGGGAGAAGAGGAATCCCCACTGAGCAGGGAGCCCAATTTGAGGCTTGATCCCAGGACCCTGGGATCCTGATCTGAGCCAAAGGTAGATGCCTGATTGAGCCATCCAGATGCCCCCTTTTCCCTGTTTCTTAAGTTATTTAAAACATTTAATACAATCTTAAATTTTAGGCTTGTGATTTTTTATTTGTATTTATTTATTTATTTATTTTTTAGGCTTGTGATTTTAATGAAACACTTCGATGTGTTTAAATTGAAATCAGTGCTTAAAAAGAGTGGGTATATCTAATTTTGAAATTCATAAGTTTTTATTTATTAGTTTCACAGCTGTGAATAATTAGAGGAATACTGGCTGCTTAAAGAATGTGTTTCTAAAACTAATAAACACTAATCAAAATATAAATAGTAACAAATATATTTCTCCAAGCCTGCAAGGCCTTTGGACATAAGAGAATCTATCAACCTGATGATCCTTTAACATTCTGAAGTTCTGAGAAAGTTACACAGATTTTAATGTGAGCAGCAACCTTTTGCTTTATTAACTTTAATATATTCAACAAATATTTTTCATATGTTATAAAATGCTGCTCCAGGCACTATTTTTATTTACTGTACCAGTAGGTGATCCATGTTCTAATGACATTTCTAAAGAGAAATCCTGTATTAATAGTTTATTATTATGTATAAGCTTTAATATCTCTTTTCATAAAGGACCAATGGACATAGGTGGATGGACCAAATGAACTAAGATATGTGAAAGGGTAATGTCTTGCCCTCCTAGACAGAAATAAGTAATAACTAACAGGTTTTTGAATGAGTACTATTCCTCTGGCTTCTCTAGTCTAAGAACAATACATAATCAATATACTAAGAGTTCACTCTTTAACTTGCAACATTTTGATAAGAACAAAGGACATGAAAAGAAATTGATCCCAGAATGATATAGTTTACTGTACAACTAAGATAAGCATCATCATTTATGACCCAAAGAAATTTAATAAGCTTCTAATTTTTAATTCTTATTTATTATGATGAATTGGTGAAAATCTTGGGGCAACTGTGGTCTGGATAAGTCCAGACAGTTCTTTTCTAGGATTATCTAAGTTCTGCTGAAACTCTCCTGAAAATCCCATTGTTTTCACCTGTGTTGATACACTGCCTTGTATTGGAATCTTTGTGGATAGGTCTTTTTCTTTTTTCTGGTTGCAAAATTAAACTTTGTTCAAAGCCTTTACCAATTGTAATTAACCATTACTTCTTTTAATACATACCTCCACTGTCTGAGATTTCACCTTGGCTCACTCTCTTTCTGAAATCTGGGTGCCCTCTTTATGGAAAATGAATGTTAAATGTAGCTCATTTTGGTGGCTGTTTCCAGAACAGATCTGACCTGAAAGTGGACCCCTACTACACAGACATTTGAACACAAAATACTATTAAAAATCCTTCTTGACTATAGTAACTCAGGATTTTATTAACTATTCCACATCCACTGATGCATGGGGCATAAATGTACTTTGAAAAGTTTGTGACAAAACAAGTTCATTACTTTCTTTGTTTTTAGTGTTTTGGTTTTTAAAATCTTTAAGCATTCAGCTTTGCCCCAAGAACTTTATAAAATCTAGTCTTTCAGAGGGAAAAAGTCAGAGAAGCCTTTGAGCTGAGAGCTATGTTAGAAGAAAAAAGGTGAGGAAGCAAGGGGAAATGCAATCCTATCTTAGCTTCATGGCTTCTTCAAGCCATGACTTAGGAGACAGAAAAACAGAAAACCAAGCAACTGAAGCAGCCCCAAAGGTGCAGCTGTTTGTGGCTTATGACAGTTTACATTTATAATGCTTTGTAACATCAAAAGGTGATAACCTGTTAAACAGGGCAGTATTCATAAAAATAAAATTTAACCACCTTAAATTCTTTTTGGAGAAAGGTGTTATATACACACATTTCAATAAATAAAATGAATTATTAAGCCAATTAGTAATACTTCCTTAGTTGTTTATATAAGCCAGTTAGGCTCTTCCCTGGTTCTTATCCTCATGATGGCACCACAGCTCAACATCTGGGATAGTCTCATACTTCTTGTCTTTCACAGATGTGCAGGGAGGTGCAGGCACTCTCAGCACCTGGTCATTATAGAAAAAAAAAAAAAAGCAACACAAAACAACAAAAAGAAACTTCTCTCTCTCCAAACCCACAAATATAGCAGAAATACCCATTTTAGCGAAAACAATCTGCTATAAGGAAATTTAAACTAGAACAACAGGATAGAAAAGTAGACTTCTCTGAATCACTTTTTAAATTTTTTTTTTAAATTTATTTATTTGACAGACAGAGATCACAATTAGGCAGAGAAGCAGACAGAGAGAGAGGAGGAAGCAGGCTCCCTGCTCAGCAGGGAGCCTGATACGGGGCTCGATCCCAGGACCCTGGGATCATGACCTGAGCTGAAGGCAGAGGCTTTAACCCACTGAGCCACCCAGGTGCCCCTGAATCACTTTTTAAAGTCCATCACTATGACCCTCGGTCTCCCCCAAGACTCTTCTTAAAGTGATCCTAGGACTTGTTTGATGAAAATGCAAAAGTTGCTAAAAAATAAACAAATAAACAAACATACAAACACCATCATATCCTGTCACATTGTTTCTCAAATAAATGTACAGATTTAGGTGGTACATCAAATAGATACTTTTAATTTGGAAGTTATATATATTTTGATAAATATCTATTTATTTTAGAACAGATATAATTGACATATAAAACTCATAATTTCCACAAATACTATTTCCTAGGACAAGGTTAAAAATTCTTAGTCCCTTTAAAGGAAAATATTAAGTAAACACAATATGATAAAAACTGTAAAGGAACACACAAATGATGAAAGTTTGAGAAATATTGCCTTTATGTTTATTTCAAGTTTATGTGACTGGTTACACTACATCATTGCCTTAATCAATGTTTACATAATTTAAAAACTTTATATCATAAAAGTTACAGGTGAATAATTACAGATTATTGCCTACAAGATTCCTGGTCATTGAAAAAAGCTTTATATCAGATTTGGAATGTGACTCTTAATATAATCTTATTTATAAAATAAGTTATTTTCACTATTTATAAGTGCTCCTTGGAATACACTACTAATTTAAGACCTAAATTTATTTAGTTTCTATGCATTAAAAGTTTAAGTTTTCTCACCTCTGTAAATAATTTGATATTGAAAGGGATGAAAAGATCTGACCAAAAGTTTTCCCAGATTTATATATTCATATGATTCCCCCGCCATGAGTTATGTGCTGCTGGGTAAGTGAAGGACTGGGACTTAAGGTTTTCTCACATTTATTATATTCACATAATTTCTCCCGAGTATGGATTTTCCTATGTTGATTAAGGTGTGCACTCTGGCTAAAGGCTTTCTCACATTCATTACATTTATAGGGTTTCTCTCCTGTATGAGTTCTCTCATGCTGATTAAGATGTGTCCTCTGGCTGAAGGCTTTCCCACAAAAACTACATTCATAAGGTTTCTCTCCAGTATGAAGTCTATGATGTTCAGTAAGGGATGTGATACGGCTAAAGGCTTTACCACATTGATTGCATTTATAGGGCTTCTCTCCAGTATGAATTCTCAGATGTTGAGTAAAGGATGAATGCTGACGGAAGGCTTTTCCACATTCATTGCATATAAAAGGTTTTTCTCCTGTGTGAATTCTCTGATGTTGAATAAGATGTATCCTCTGGCTGAATCTTTTCCCACATTCATCACACTTATAGGGCTTCTCTCCTGTAAGGACTATCTCAGGTTGAGTAAGAGATGAGTTGTGGCTGAAAACCTTCCCACATTCACTGGGTTTCTCTTCAGTATGAATATGGTTAGTAAGAAGAATATGTTGATTGAAGATTTTTCCACACTCATTATATTCATAAGGATTATTTCTTACATAGTTTCCCTGATAGTAAATCAAGTCTGGATTATGTTTGATGCTATTTCCTTGTGTGTCAGAATTAAGGGGTATTTTAATTGAAGGAATTCTCTGATGCGTAATAGGGTTTGCATTCAAGTTATAGTTTTCTCGAAATCTATCACAGTCATGGCTTCTCTCCTGTGTGATCTTTTTGTGGGTGAAAGATATTTGTGCTAAGTATCTCTGCTGGTTTTCTTGGTTAAACTCTAACTGGTAATCAAAATCCCAGAGTCCTCCCAAGATGGAGTACCAGAAACTATCTCCTGTTAGTCTCTCCATTATCATGTCATGATTTTGTTTTTCATCAGAAATATTCTGGTTTGGAGTCGCTTTTTTGATTTCAGGTCTACTCTCCCCATCTAAAAGAAATGCAGAACATACAAATACTTTGCCATCTCCTCTGTTTTGAAAAAGAAACTGTTGCACAATGAATTACCACAGGAAATATATAGTAATGTGGACAAGGTGTATGTGGCATAAGTTTTAAAATATGGCCACGTAACAAGGGAGACTATAAAAGGATGATGGAAAGCACTGAGCAGGGGGAAATTTAAAACATGTACGGTAATCATAAGAAGAGATCATCCAGGAGTATCTATAGCTGAAAGGTAATGGAAAGGAGAACGAGAAATCTCAGAGAAAGTTCTGTGCTTAGAGGTGGGAGATATTAGAGGAAAGACTATACTTGGGGAAGACAGGTCCAAGTACTCCACCTTATAAATTTCATCTGTGGATTATTCTATTGTAGTGCAAGTGACCCTGTTTATTTAAAAAGTATTTCTTCAGGGTGCCTGGGTGGCTCAGTGGGTTAAGCCGCTGCCTTCGGCTCAGGTCATGATCTCAGGGTCCTGAGATCAAGTCCCACATCGGGCTCTCTGCTCAGCAGGGAGCCTGCTTCCCTCTCTCTCTCTGCCTGCCTCTCTGTCTACTTGTGATCTCTGTCTGTCAAATAAATAAATAAAATCTTAAAAAAAAATAAAAAGTATTTCTTCATATTTTTATCTTTTGCTTAAAATGACACAATTAATACTTGCTTATAATAACACATTCAGATAATATGGAAATGCAATAAGGAAGAATTTCAGCCCCTTAGAGGTCATTATTTTTAATAGTTTGGAGCCTGTCTTGCCAGATTTTTTTCTATGTTCATACAAATATAAATGTAAATCATATTCTAAACAAGCATGAATTGTGATAAAAACAAAATTTCATTTCAGTCCCCTACTACTTCTTTAAACTTAATTTAATGGGGGCATTCTTATTATGCTTCTGGATGAAGATCTGGGCAGGTTCCATGGTTCCCCCTAATTTTTAGATAACAAATACTCCTACTGTTACATTAAGTTACAAACACAGTCTCTAATCAGTAATTAAAGTGTTCAGTCACCTGTTTAATAATCAAAACTCCAAAATTAATTCCCTTTCCTTCCCCTTGGCTGTTAAGAGTCATATTCTTCCTTTCTCCCCACCACCTGCCTCTTTCTGCATCCTACTCTCTTCCTGCTCGTTTTTTCCCCTGCTGCCGTGCTCTCATTTCTTGTTCCCACTTTAATTATTTCCCTGGCTACCTCTTTCTCCACTCACTGTTGTTTAGTTCCCTTCTTTTTTTGTTGCGGGGGGCACAGAGGGAGAGAGAGAATCTTAAGCAGGCTCCACACCAGCACAGAACCTGTTGTTGGGCTCAGTCTTATGACCCTGAGATCATGACCTGATCCAGAATCAACAGTTGGACACTTAGCTGACCAAGTCACCCAGGTGCCCCTGTTTAGTTCCCGTCTAACAAGAGTTTGAGGGTAGAAGCTATGTGGAGGAAGAGATTAAAAGGCCAATTTTTGTATGACTGAGTAGCTTCACATTCTCACCTTGGCAGAAGATTAAATAGGAACTCATGATTCTTGGGAGGTTTTAGCTGGACCTCTCTTTCTCCTCTCATTTCCATGATCTGGACAGATAAATCTTTATTTGGATAGTACCTTGGGACCATCCCTACAGCAATGAATCCTATTGGACAAGATCAAAGATGTTGGATGACTCGTAAACACCCATGATACCTTGGCTTGACAATCTTGCAAAGTGCAGACAGATCCTAACTCAAGTTTCTCCTGGCTCACCTATAAAAGCCATTTTATCAGTCAGCTGTTCTTGGACCTTGGACGGTTTTAGTTTTCTCAAATGTAAGTCATGCGCTAGTCTTGGTCTTTCAACCACAGGGAATGCATATAAAAGCTGAAAGAGTGTTTTCCCCTGTAGTTGGGACATATGATTATCATCCTAATGAGGACACTTAACAGTAAAAGGGAGCACCATTAATAATTATGCCAGAAACTATCCTGGAAAAATAAAATGGAATTACACCATAATACTCTTTTGTACTTTGTTTTTTTTTTTTTTAAAGAGAGAGAGAAACTGAGGGAGGGCAGAGAGAGAATCTTAAGCAGTGTGGAGCCTGATGTGGGGCTTGGTCTCACAATCCTGAAATCATGACATGAGCCAAAATCAAGAGTCCGGAGCTTAACTGAGCCACTCAGGCCTGTGAATTTTTTTTTTTTTTCATTACTGCATATCAGGAACACATTTCCATGTCAACAATACATTTCCATAATTTTTAAAGGTTGTAAAATATCCACTTTTATGGATAAATCAAATTATGTTTAATCAATTCACATCTTCACTGGACTTACTGTTATTACAAACAGCATGGCAAGAATAGTTAGTTGGCTGAACATGAAATAGAAATTGTAGAAAGAGGGACGCCTGGGTGGCTCAGTTGGTTAAACGGTTGCCTTCGGCTCAGGTCATGATCCCAGCGTCCTGGGATCGAGTCCCACATCGGGCTCCTTGCTCATCAGGGAGCCTGCTTCTCCCTCTGCCTCTGCCTGCCATTCTGTCTGCCTGTGCTTGCTCTCTCCCCCTCCCTCTCTCTCTGACAAATAAATAAATAAAATCTTAAAAAAAAAAAAAGAAATTGTAGAAAGAAAAAATCGTTAAAAACAGATCAATATGCTTAAAGATATACAAAAAGATACATAAACAGAACTTACTCTGGTCTAAAATTATATGTGGAAAAAACAGTGATTTAAAATATTTGTTTTAAACCAATTGACGTTTTCAACCAAATTATCAACTGAGCCACTTTATTTTCAGCCAAAACACTTTTGTCTGCCTAGGGACTTTGGCTCCAAAATGTTTAGAATGGTTGGCTGGAGTTTGGAAACAACTCCTGCCTAGGAGTACAATTCAGGGCCTTCATTCCCTAAGGCCTAGCTTCCAAAACTTGTTTATTCCTGGAAGCATGGCAGCTTGATCAACATACTCATGGCCACCTTTGTTGATGGCCTGCTTTCCATGTCTTACCTCTGAGTGAAAAGGGAAAATTGCTACTGGTTGGCAAACTTGTCATCTATTGATACCAGGAGGAGTGACAATGCATGGACCATATAGACACTGTTCCCTTACTCTGGATACCCTCAAGGCCCATCAGATATTCAATCACAGGGCTATCTATCTATGTCCCATTGGGATGCGAGGGTACAGAGTCTAGACTCCAGGTTGAGACAGTGATTATCTTGGGCTATCTGTGAAGAACATTTGTGAAGAACAAACTCTAATCCATTTGCTCTAGCTCCTTACTTAGCCCAAACCCCCATGTTAGCAGACATGACTGCAACTTACCTTGAAAGGAGGGTGGGCATTGATGAGGATGAATACTTTCATCAAGCTGTGTATTTGAGATGATGTTTAGGTGCCTTTCACTCATTATCCACTGTCTACTTTCCTCCTGGTTTGGCCTTACCTGGCTAGAAACCCAACCATTCACTGAAGCTCCCAAGTCTTACTTTATACTTCTCCTGAATCGATATCCTATCACATCTTATATTGCCTACACCTCTGTTGTCTGAGATTATGGAAAAGGTGCTAGTTGGGAAGAAAGTGTTTTCAGACACGGAAGCAGAAGAGCTTCCTGTGCCTACACTGTGAGAATGATATGCATTCTGTTTGTGCCCAAGTTCTAAATTAAGTAAGTGCAATATCTTGGTCACAGCTACAGACTAAGGTTCTTTAGCTTATTGTGGGAGTTCCAGGCTTTCATTATTCTTGCAGGAGCCCAGGGGCTCTACATCAAGAAAAACAGGGGATTTGCATAGAACTATTGTAGTCTCAATATGGTAACTATTTGTCCCCACTGACTCCATATTCCCTGGATCAACTCTTGGGGTTATGAGCCTTTAATAAAATTATATTTCTAGGGTACCTAGACCTCTGACATCCTTTGCATCTAGGCAGGGATACCTTCTAGATAGGATCTTAGAATAAGCATATTGTGATGCCACTGGGCAGCCACAACATCCTGGAAGGCCTTCTGCACTACTGCCATACTTCACCTAGTAGACAACTTACCCTGCTTAGCCTCATCCAATGCCTTTTGAAATAAGCTGTTGAGAAGTCAGAAGAAAGGAAACAAGAAAGGAGAGAGGAAGGGAAAGAAGGAGAGAAGGGAGAAAAGGAAAGAATTAGGGAGAAAGGGAGGGAGGAAAACATTTTAAAATTTTATCTTTTTTTAAAAGATTGTAGGTATGTATGTATATGTGTGTGTATGTATGTATGTATTTATGAGCAAGACAGCACGAGCAGGCAGGAGAGGGAGAAGCAGGCTCCCCAAGAGCAGGGAGCCTGATGTGGGCTTGATCCCAGGACTCCAGGATCATGACCTGAGCCGAAGGCAGATGCTTAACTAACCAAGCCACCCAGGTGCCCCAAGTTTATCCTTTCTATGTGTAAAGTACTATAGTATTTCTAGTTCTCTTTTGTTAATTAAAAAAAAAGTGCCATGATTTATAGTGGGTTATAATATTAATTTAGTGGATAGAATAATACATTACAACTGAGAGAAAATAGGCTAAAAAAGGTTAGAAACTATCAGCTCATCAGACATAGAAGGATAAATGTTTTTTGGTAAGACTGTCTCAATTGTATAGATTATACAGATCTTATGGGTTGCAATAAAAATGAATTTCTTAATGAGGATGCTGATTATAAATAATTAAAAACTACTGTTTTGACAGAGGTCGGTAAGCTTTTTCTGTAAAGGGTCGTAGTAAATATTTAGAGTTTTTGGGTCATATGGGCTTTACTGTTTAATCAACTCTGCTGTCATAGAGTGAAAGCAGCCACATACAATATGAGTGACAGAGTGAGTGTGGCTCAGTTCCCATAAAATTGTTTACAAAAACATGTGACTGTAGACAATGTCTATTCATCCAAACAGCCTATAATACCAAACAGGGTTATCTGGAAAGGGAACCCCCTGTGATAATCTGTAGGGAAGAAAGCACTCTCATACATACCCTAACCCTAACCC